TAACAAAAGCAGCGGAAGATGAGCCGTTTAGCCAAATTCTATTTGAATCTCTGACTGTGTATCAGACAGTAGACAAGTGCGATGCGTTTTGGAAAGATTCGTTATTCAGATGAATTTTCGTTATTCGGGGGTTCGGATGTTTCCGAATGACAGAAATGACGAATTCAAATGAATCCGAATTGCCAATTCCGGAATTCGTTATCGGTAGTCTGTACAAATTTTCGTTTGTGGATGAATTTTTGTTGCAGCAAAGTGGCATTAGACTTTTTTTTTTTACAGTCTGCAGAAGAGGAAAAATAAAAGTGTGAGGTTCCCCCCAATTCCTATCAGACCCTTTAGGTCTGGTAGGAATGTTAGGAGGGTCCCCCCAAGTTAAAACAAAAAAAAATGCATGGGGTTGCAAGGGCCTCTTCCCCACAACCCTGACCCGGTGATTGTGGGGGTCTGCGGGAAAAGGGGCTTATTTGCATTGGGGTACCCCTTTACTTAAGCCTTACCCCTACTCATTCACTAAAGGGTTAAAATTCAAAGTAAATAAACAAACCACACTTTTAGAAAAAAAAAAACAAAGAGTAAATTTTGTACTATTCCTTTAATTAAAAAAGAGAAATGGCTCCATCGATCCATGATGTGAGGACTACTAGGAACACCCTCCCACTTTTTTGGGGGGGGGGCGGGGGAACCAGCAGACTTGAGTCACTGATGGTCACATGATTGTGGCATCAAGGTGGACTTCAGTCCAATTTTTATTTTTTTTGGATAGAGTGGTGAAGAGTTAACATTTCTGTGGATATGTTTTCTGCTTGTGACCTCATTCAGGAAGCTCCAGGCAGAAATAACATTATTAGATGTTCAAACCTCTCCTCCTCTATTAAAAATGTGTTTGTTTTTTTCTGTGCCTTTGCTGGGGAAAGTTCCCATCGCTTTCTGTTCTGACATTCCCCTCCGAGGATTCTTGTCCTATTCAGTGTTCTAATATCCTAGTCAGTGTTCAGGGGTTTTCCTGAGAGCAACAACAAAGAGGCTGTAACTATAGTCTGTTGAGTTCCGAGAAATCAGCCCTGTTCAGGATAGTCACCAGCGTTTCAAGGAAGTCACGTGACCACCTGCACGGCGGCTTATTCCAACGGCATGATAAGCAGGTTGATGAGGACCTGGAAACTCCCTTCAGAATAAAAGTGTTAATGTTTGTACCGCAATACTCCTCACTTAGATACAGAGTATAATAAAATTAAACAGATGTACATCACTATAATGCTGTAGCTATGCGCAAGATTTGAATTGCTTGTAAGCAAGTCGTGTTTTGCCAGCTCGCCTAAAGCTGAACTTTGGGCACAAAAATATTCATTTAAATGAATTGTTCAATTTCCACTGTGCATGAGCTTCTTGTATTAAGACTAATCAGTGTTAATTAAGGGAGGTAATTGATCTCCAGCTGACCTTGGCTCGTTTGACCTTGATTACCGATCTTGCCCTGCTCCGTAATCAACACCTGGATTCCAGCTTGCATGGTGTTACCACCACTGGCACCCGTGCCACTCGCTGTCTACTAGGACTCTGTCCCCAACTCCAGAGTCCTCGGGACACGAGGTGCAAGGGTGGCCTCCTCACACATTCAGTCTCCAGCCAGGTACGTGACAGCATCCCTAATACGAATGTCCTCTTGTAATATCGAACTATGGCCACTAGATGGAGCTGAGAATAAATACTTCCTATGCGCCTTGGCCATAATGCAGTATTACATAATAACATTTGGAAATACTACCTGGCTAAAAAAAAGCCATCACCTGGATTTAGTGTTATGATCTGGAGTTGCTTCAGGTGGTCAGGTCTAGGTTCAGCAAGATTATATCCTCATAAAATGAGGTCTGCTGCCTACCTGAATATACTGAATGATCAGGTTTTTCCATCAATGGATTTTTTTCTTCCCTGATGGCACATTGGGCATATTCCAAGATAACAATGCCAGGATTAAGTGGTTCAGGAAGCATGTGGCATCATTGTCACGCATGGATTGTCCACCACAGAGTCCAGACCCCATTGAGAATCTTTGGGATGTGCTGGAGAAGACTTTACGCAGTGCTCCGACTCTCCCATCATCACTACAAGATCTTGGTGAAAAATTAATGCAACTCTGAACAGAAATAAATGTTGTGACTAGAAATGTCCCGATACAGATACTAGTATCCTTATCGGGGCCGATACCGGGCATTTTCATGGGTACTTGTACTCGTGAAAATGCTCCAAATTCCTAAGGCCGATATCATTTTACATTTTTTAACAGCATTGGCTGTCTGAGTTCCCGCGCTTGTGGGAACTTAAGGCAGCCTGCTGGGGACCTGGTAGTAGCTGTCCATGGCAGTGCCTGTCCGGTTCTTTATCTCCTCCTTCCCAGCACAGGCACAGCCATGGACAGCCCAACACAGTACAGCCCTGGAGCCGGCACCCGCCCCATCAACTATCCACCCACCATTTCAGGCCGGTGTTCTATCACTTCTTTCACCGAGACCTGCCCGATCAGCATAGCTACTGCCTGCAGAGATCCACATTATCGCCCGGGTGAGATTGCAGCCTGATGAGATGTATTTAGGTCTGGTGACATGTACACTGCTCTGGTGACATGTATTCTGCTCTGGTGACATGTATTCTGCTCTGGTGACATATATTCTGAGGGAAAGTACTTGTACTGGGTCTTGAAAAAGTGGTATCGGGACATCCCTAGTTGTGACACTGCATAAGTTTATCAGAACAATGCCACAGTGAATGTAATCAAAGCTAAAGGCGGTCCAACAAAATATTAGAGTGTGTGACCTTTTTTGGGGACAGGCAGCGTATATTTGACTTACAGAAAATATTAGTTTTGTGCATCCATTCACAAAGAACAAACATTTACAGAGATTCACAGGGACAGCGGCTCTATTGATTGTTTATCCACAGATCCTGTTAAACTTTAAAGTAGGTGACTTCAGTTCCCTAAAACTCGGATGACTTACCAGCGCAGTACCAGCTACACTGTTTCCCCGAGAATAAGACCTACCCCGAAAATAAGACCTAGTACCATTTTTCGGAATTGCTAAAATTTAAGACCAACCCCGAAAATAAGACCTAGTTGTGTCCATTCCCAGGGCTGGTGGTGGCATAAGGGGGAACTTGAAGAGCCGCAGGAGAGGCAAAAGAGAATCAGCGGTGCCAACGAAGCCAGTGCTAGAGGAAGCAAGGCGGCAGCGGAGGGAGCAGAGCCGCATAAGCCGATGCTTCCTCTATAGCCCCGGTTCCTGTCACAGGCGGAGTGATACCAAATGCACTCCGCCTGTGAGGAATCGATAGTGAAAGCGCGCTTCGCTCATTCTGGCCAACAATTGGTTAGCAAATTGCTCTTGGAAAGGTATGGCCTGATTGCCCTGATCACCATATTTTTGTACATGAATACATGTAGACTGTTGTACATGAATAAGTGTGGATTGTTGTACATAAAAAAAAAAAAAAAATAAGACCTCCCCCGAAAATAAGACCTAGTGTGTTTTTTTTGAGGCAAAAACAATATAAGACAGTGTCTTATTTTCGGGGAAACACGCTATTACCAGTTGGCACGGTTGTGTGAATTTTATCTGACGGTGGAAACAATATGTCACAATTGTATTGCAAATGAAAATCTTATCACATGATAACAATAAACACAAAAGATTCGGTTAACGGTTTATTTTCAAATAATTTGATTTGAGAGACATCAAAATAGAATAGTTTGAAATAAATAAGGGTGGAGTTTTTAAAAAAAAAAAAAAAAAAAAATAAGACCTCCCCCGAAAATAAGACCTAGTGTGTTTTTTTTGAGGCAAAAACAATATAAGACAGTGTCTTATTTTCGGGGAAACACGCTATTACCAGTTGGCACGGTTGTGTGAATTTTATCTGACGGTGGAAACAATATGTCACAATTGTATTGCAAATGAAAATCTTATCACATGATAACAATAAACACAAAAGATTCGGTTAACGGTTTATTTTCAAATAATTTGATTTGAGAGACATCAAAATAGAATGAATAAAGGGAGCCTGAGGGAGCTGCCACTGCTGACTTGAAAAAGAGTTGGGAACAGCCACACATCTAGTGAAGTCAGAATTCCCAACCTGGATATGTGTTTCTGGTCAGTGACTAACTAAGTTTAAAAGAAGGGATGAGAATGACAGCACAGGAACTTGCACTTTGGGGGAAAAAAGTGAGCAACAACAGCTCCCAAATTTCTGTCCTGACTTGTTATGTGGAATTCCAGCTTGTATCCTGTTCTTTATAAACCACCCACAACAAAATTGTATTCTCTAGGTTGTAAAATGTCTAGACAAAACTTTGTTCTTAGTTTTGGATGGATTGTGGCAGGGTTAGAACCCCGTCGGGTTTTTACAGCTATCTGGAGATCTATAAAGAGAGATTTTCCCTCACTTCCTGTCCTGCTAATAATGTTTTACCACACAGGAAGTGAGGGGAAACATTCAACTGCAATACAGAGAGAAATACAAGTGCTGTCAGATCCTGATTTCTGTTGAGAAACTTGTTGCAGATGTGTCTTCACTTCCTGTCTGGTGAGAATGCTGTCAGTAGGACAGGATATTAGGGGGAAATCTCTCTAAAGAAGCCCAAGATAGCAGTAAAAAAAAAAAAACAACAACAGGAGTACTAATCCTTCTCTATCCAAAGCTAGAAAAAAAGTTTGGGGCTCTACATATACTTCAAGCAAGTGAAGCCGGAAATTGAAGTTCATGTGAATAGTGTTATCAGCAGTGTGATCCCCCAACTCTACCTGTTAGTATTGGCCATGGTAAGGCTATAAAGTGTCCTGGTGTGTAGGACATAACATCATGATCAGTGGCGTGTTTTTGTTTGAGCAGTCCAACACTATGATGGAGGCATGAACATTCTGCTTATTCTGGGCCATATAACTGTCAAAAATTTGAAGACGGTTGGATACAATTACAGGTCAACAAGAAGAACATTCGAGGATGACTTCCGTGTTACTTGCTCTTCTCATCTTTGTATTTATACAACAACTCGCTCACATCGTATTGTCCAATTTTCACCCAACCGTCTTCCTTCATGTGGTACACTGCCGGGAAAAAGAAAGAGAAGTGCGGACATTGGTTTTGTGAATATGGTTTTATTTCCCATGTGTAATCTTTGCAGTGGTAGACCAAGTAAGCTGGAGGCCATGATGTGTAGGGTCACATGTCCCCTGCATCTAACAATTGAGGTCATTGTAATTGAGCCTAGGACCCCATTTACACCGGGCATCTATGGGTGTTTTTTGGGGGGCATTTTATTGGGAGTTTGTACAGGCGTTTTTGCCCCAATTTTAGGCTTATGCTTTAATAGGCTTTGAAATGTCCATTTCCTGCATTATTGTGGATTTAAAAGAGGAATTACAGGGACTGAAAAAAATGAACCCTTGTTGTGGGGCTACCCTCTCCCTGCAAAACTGCTCACTTTTCTCTAGGGGCCAGAATAAAGAAGATACACTCACCTGATCCTCACCTCTCTCTGTTCTGGTGTTGGAATGTTCCTCTGCATCCTCACGTCTAATGCAGGTCCATTGGCTTGCATTAGATGTTATGATGTCAGTGGAACCCAGGGGAGAAGAAGATGCGGGGACCGATCTAGCAGCCCAGCGGGACTGAGAGTCAGGTGAGTAATACAGCTTTACCTGAGCCCCCTAGACAACCGGGGACTTGAAGTGAGGGGGTAGCCCAACTGCAAGGTTAAGTTTTTTGTTAGGCTGGAGTTCTTTTTTAATGGCTGGTTTCCATGCTGGGGATGAGTATTGCAACTAGAAATTCTGTCTACACAATAACGTTTAAGTGATGGCTTAAAGTGGCCCCGCCATCAGAATGCTTAAATTTAAAAGAGAACTATGGGGGTAAATGTTTTTCCTCATAGTTTTCTTAAAGGTCACTTGAGGACATATACTAGCGTCCTCCCATGACCCAAAGCTCAGTATACCGTGAGCTACACCTCGCGGTATACTAAGACTGCCGCAGCTGGGACGGATGCCGACAATACTGTCGAGATCCGCCCAGCTGCGTGAGTGACAGCTAACTCTGCCTATCTAAAAGGCAGAGCCAGCTGTGCCTGCCCCCTCCCCCATCTGTTCCTCCAGTCAGCGCTGGAGGATCGGACAGGGGAGGGGGGGAATCCCTGCAGGGAGCCGTGAGTGACAGTCACGGCTCTCTGCAGGGAGATGATCGAGAAGTGAGCGAGTGACGGTATGCGTATGTCGGCTCGAACTATGAGGCTGAGTGATTTTCACTCACCTTATCGTTCTCCTTTAAGTTATTTGTTTGTTTATTACAAGTATTTATACAGCAATTACAATTTACGGAGAGCTTTACATAGTTGCACATTCACATCAGTCCCCGCCCTTGAGGAGCTTACAATCTAAGGTACCGATCTCACATGCATACAGGACTGACTTAGATAGGATTCCTAATTAACCTTCCAGCATGTCTTTGGAGTGTGGGAGGAAACCCATGCCAGCACAGGGAGAACATGCAAACTCCTTGTAGATAGTGCCCCAACCAGGATTTGAACCGGGGACCCCCAGTGCAGAGGTGAGGTGTCAGTGTCACACTTTCAGATATTCATTACCGCTCACAGAGATCACAGTTCTCCCCCTGACAATGCCTTTAACTGTTTTTCTTTGTAGGAGGACGGCATCATCTTTGTTCAAGGCATCATCCAGGGTCACCATCTAATTCCTGGACTCAGAGATCACCCTGAGGAAATGTTTCCTCCTACCTGCAGCAGACTGATGACATCATCCTAGCCTAGGCAACGTTATTGGACTGGACTTGAATGCTGGCTTTTCAATGATAAAAGGTGGAGGGTCTCTGGAAATGTATACCAGTGCTGCATATGTCAGGATATCATTCATCCACAGTGAACACATAACCAGCACTTAAGTGTTTGCTTACCCAATCAGCGTTTCACAAAGGACTCTATGCATTTGGTTTACTGATTGTCTAATCAATAAAACACAAATGAATCTGGATCAGTTACTCACGGTTGACCACTCCTCCAGAAGCCCCATCACGATGTGTGGCGTAGCTAATTGCTCTGCAGCCAAGGTCATACGCCTCTTCGGGGGTCAGATCATAACGGTATCCGCTGTCCATCACACCGTATGCATGGGAACCACCTGATCCCACAGCAAACATATTATCAGATAACCGCGTGCCGTTTTCATCCACATAGTACAGACCGGGACCCTGCAAAGTGTGTGAATTATAATACGTTTTACACACTGTATTCAAATGGCAACTGACTCCAACAATGCAACAACTTCTTCAGAGGTAGTTCAGCTCACTGTAGGGGTGGGCAATGCATTTTCTCACCATGGGCACCATGAGAAACTGGGACTGTTGTGGAAGGCCCAAGCAATAGTTATTAGCTGTCCCCATTTGCTTGCCCCCTTACATTGGTTGTCCCCTTTACAGTGCCCCATTATAATATTGTACCCACATACATTAGTTTACTGCCTTATTAGTAGGCCAGCGCATTCCACTGTCACCCAGCCTTAACTAAGCGCAAGCAGGTCGGCCATTGCAGTCCAGAGAGATCCGCCACTCGGCCTGTTTTCAGACTGCGGTCGGCCATTTAGGGACACCTAGTGTACTGCGTGGGCCAGACAGGGACAGCCAAAGAGCCGGATGTGGCCCGGTGGCCGTAAAATGCTCGGGTCTTGCTTACTGGGTGTCACTACATCAGGAAGTAAGGGAAAATTCTCCAGTGGGGACAGAGAGCAGTAACACATGACAGATGATCTAAACCTTCCCCACTCTGTCCAAACTTAGAAGAACGAATGTCAATCAATAAAAAAGGCTGTTTGGGTCTGAAAATTGAGGAACAATTTCAAAATGCCACCAGCACTCCAGCACAGAGATTCACGTCAGTGCCAGGGACGTTCGGTCAGGGGAGGCAGAGCCTCACCTAGAATTATGGAGTAAAAAGCTGTCAACTTCAAGTCTGAAGCTCGGAATCTAACAGTTTACAAAGCAGGGAAATCCTCCTCGCTGTGTGACCTGTCATGGATGAAGTGCTGCCTGTTAATTACAGGCAGCGCTGCATCCGGCTATTGACAGGTAGTTAGTGAGGGACTGGGAGGCTCCTCCCTTCCTCCTTCACACTAGTTTGGGGGCGGGTTGGGGGCGTGACTTCGGCTGACTCGGGGCGTGGCTTTGACAGGCTGGGTGTGGCTTTAGCCGACGGTTCGGGGCTTTGGTCAGCGGGGCGGGGGAATGCCTCACCCGGAATATGAGGTACAGCACGTCACTGGTCAGTGCAAATCCATTTTATTGATAGATGTCATAAAGACAAGCGCTTTCGGGGCCGCGCAGGGTCCCCCTTCATCAGGCTCAATAATTACATTGTATGAAAGAACCACAACCATTATATAGGCAGACATAAATGAGGAGAATATTAAGGGAGGGGGGTGTTGTTATTCTCCTCATTTATGTCTGCCTATATAATGGTTGTGGTTCTTTCATACAATGTCATTATTGAGCCTGATGAAGGGGGACCCTGCGCGGCCCCGAAAGCGCTTGTCTTTATGACATCTATCAATAAAATGGATTTGCACTGATGTGAATCTCTGTGCTGGAGTGCTGGTGACATTTTGCAATTGTTACTTTGTTTGGAGCGGCGCCATCCACAGTCATTACAAGCACCCGTTATCTCTGGGATATCCGGTACGGAGTGCGGCAAGGTGTATGGACTTTATGAAAAGTGAGGAAATCCCAGTAATTTGGAAAAAGAAATTGTGAAAGGGGGTGGGGGATGGGGGGGGGGAGTTACCTTTTTATCCCAGCCACAGATCATGCTGCCCACACACAGGCCTGCCCCTCGGTACTGCAGCATCATGTTACACAGCAGTTTGGAGGCAGCGGAGACTGATATCCTTGTGTTATTCCGCAGCTGGTATAACCTGAAACACCGACAAATATGGGGAAAATAATGATTCATCTGTAAGAATAAAATTCTTGATGAAAAAAAGAAATGTTTTCCGTCCATTACAAAGTTCCCGGTATAAAGTAATCCATAAAATGATTTAAAGGGAAAGGTTCTTCATATGTGATCAGCCTAAAGCCCAACAGTAAAAAAAATAACAGCAGCATAATAAATGTAATAACTAATAATAAAGCCCAACTGAAAGATCACGCCTTTTTAACACCTCTTTATAGACCTGTACGTCTGCATGAATTGTGACTAATTTGTGTCGGAAATGCCTTAAAATACCTTATGCAGCTTCCTGCACTCACACTCCAGTGCTCTGTGCTGACATGACTCTCAGCTGCACCCCTCAACATAAGTGTCGTCACACAGACTGGCATTGCAGAGGAAAAGAGAGGCTGTGTCTAAGCGGATCTGTTACTGAGAGCTGATTACTAAGTGCACTAGGTCTAATTCTGGTGGCTATAGGACACAAAATTCATATTTAGGCACCCTGCACGGTTGCAGTAACAGGAATGAGGAGGCAAGGCTCCACCCAAAATGGAAGTTATTAGCGCAATATCTGTTGGATACTTCTCTGTACAAGTTTGCCATACGAGACATCATAAAGTCTATAGGGACATACTTGTTGCCAGAAACCACCTGGTGTAAGCTGCCTAGACTTTAGTAAATGTAGCAGTGGAGCTACCCCTGCACTGCAAGGGTTAAGTGCTCATTTTGTCTAGGGGATTCAAATAAAGCTGCTTTACGTACCTGATCCTGAGTCCCGCCAGCTCCCACCAGGCTGCTGGACAGGACCCCACTGCCTCTTTTCCCCATTGCTCTATCATCGCGGGAGCCGGGATCAGGTAAGTATAACTGCTTCATCTGTGCCCCCCTAGACGAAATGAGCAGCCCCCCCCCCCCCCCCCCTCCAACCCATCCTCCCCCATACAGCCCCCACTCAACCATAAAATTCTGATAAGTCAGATCCCCTCTTCTAAAACAACCCCTCAGGAGAGCGCGGCCACACAGGACTTGTATCCTCAATTTTTTGTATTCTGGTTTGGGGCTGTCCTAGGCAAGACAAAACTCGGCTAGTTGCCTGGCACCCCGCAAGGGTAAGTTTTTTTTTATTCTCCCAGAGTTTTTCTTCAAGGCCCATGACGATGCACAATAGTCACATGATGGAGCACACAAATTTTTTTCCATGGCAAAAAAATAGGTACTTTTGCACAATGTGGTTGGATGATACTGCTATGCTTCCCATTGGTTCATGTAACATGTCAGTGAAAGTTCCACATAAGGGAAATAAAGGGAAACAGAATGTATAGAAACAATGCTAAGTCTTCTCCTTCATTAGAACAAGGCTTTGGATATCACTCACCTGCACTCTTTTGCAAGACGTCTCTGCCAGTGCTGACAATCTGCAGCAGAGCCAGCCAAGGTGCCAAGCAAGTAAGGGTTAATCTCAACCACTTTATTAACCTTCAGAGTCGCTGTGAAATGCAAAGTGCAGACAAGTCACCATGGGGCAGTAAAACTACAATGTCATAATCTGAAACTATACAGTGATATCAGGAAATCATTTATATGTGAACCTGGGAGTGACATCAGCCCCCAAAATCCTCACTGTCACCACAAGAAGGACTGAATGACTGGTAATAAAAAATGTCCACATTTAGATGGCGTGTTATATTATCAGACACACAGGAAACGCTCAATTCCTAAATCTTTTCTAAATGTAAATGATTCGTATATGATGGTACTTATATATCAAATATACAGTGGCCATGGACCGAGAGCCCAATAGTTTCGGGAGAGTGGAGGGGCATACCTTATCCCCAGGACCGGATTTACTCTCTGTGCTGCCCCAAGCCCAGGTTTCTCAACCCCCCCCCCCATGGAGAATGGCAGACCTGCAGGCTGCATACAAGTGATCTTGGCGACACCGCCGGGATCACTTGTACAAAACAAGCGGCGGCGGCCCCTCTGTACATTTAACTCTGCTCGCCCAAAGCAGGGCTAAATGTAGAAAACTACTACCCGCCCGGAACTGCAGGTCCCGGGAGTCGGGAGAGAAGAATTCCACACCCCTGCTGCCCCTCTACTCCCTGCTGCCCCAAGGCCCGGCCTTGTGGGAAATCCGGCCCTGATTATCCTGCCAGGTGACTGCCCCCTCCTTTCTGCCGGCGTCCATCACCAAGATGGTCGCCTGCAGGTATCAATAAGATCGCAGGGCATGCGCGTTGACATCATCACGCACGCGCATGGTGACGTCACTCGCATGCGCGATGACGTCATAATGGGGTGTCACCCGGTAAACGCACCGGGTGACACCCGGCCTTGGGACGCCCCTGCAAATATACATTAATGACCTGTTCACACCATTGCTCTACAGTATTGTGGTACGTGTGTTGGTGCGATGCAGTGCCATTCATTTTAAATTGTACCCCACCACACCTTCTGACATACTGCATGTGTGTTGCAGCGCAATGGTCAGCCACTCAATTACGTGCATTGCAGTGTGCTGCCAAAAATAAATGCGACATGCACCTTTATTGGTCAATGGGCTGCCTTAGCACACACATAACGCAGTGCAGTTGCGTGGATAGGCCCTTATGGTGCCCCACGCCATTGTCAAGTGTATGTACAAGAATCAGAACTTTTGCATGCGAGCACCACTCCCCCTAACATGGAACTACTGAGTGGGTCTGAACCAGGGGAAAAATCAGCCTCCATGTGGAGCAAAGCAAGTTTAGCTGCTAAGTCATTGCTGGGATGGGGAGGAGGGAGAGCTTCTGAATCACTGCTGGGAGGGGGAGCAGGGTGCATTGAGCTTCTGAGTCTTTGCTGGGATGGGAGACCAGGGGAAGCTTGGCTACTAAGTCACTGCTGGGATGGGGAGCAGGGGGAGATAATCTAATGAGAGAATGACTTGAATAGCTTCAGTACATCTGCTACGGACCTTGAGGACAAATTTCTCTGCAGTGGTTATCACTACAGAACAGCGAGGACTTGAGAATAGCTCATTTATTGCTTGTGAGAGGCCTTTTGGGCTGGCGGGCACCCAAAGACCCCTTCTCAGGTCAACCCTTGTTTAAAGTATTTTTTTGTATATTATTTGGTTTATTACTTTGGTTATTGTTAAAGTTGTTTGTTTAATAAAAGGGCTGCTGTGGCCGTTAAAATCCATGTAGCGCAGTCCGAGTGTTTATTGGGGTTGTTAACGGAGGGACAGAAAATTGACAAATCCATCAGTCATGACTTACCAATATAGTTCCCAGCTGTTGCTCTCGAATCTACTGCCACGATCACCCCGTGCTGGAACTTGAAAGACAGCGTTGTGGTCCCGTGCCAGGGCTCAATCTTCACACCGTTCTCTCCGGCCTCCATGCGATGGAGAAATTGTGCTGTCTGTGTAGAGGGAATACAGCGATCATATATTAATTAAATAAACTCCTCGCAACAAGTATTCTCAGTCAATGAACTGCTAATGTTTTGCAGGAAGTCCAAGCTGGAAAGTCCACCCACTTTGCCATAATGTAGAACTCCAGGAAAAAGCTTAACTTAAGTAGACCAATGAAAGGAAAAGTAAGAAGCAGCTTTTACTGCAATACTCACCTTCAATCCGAATCCAGAACTGTCCCCCGCAGAGATCCTTCTTTGCCATTAGATGATGGCCAGCTTTATTCAACCCACTTCCTCAGGGGAAAGTAAAACTAGACTGTCAGACTAAACTTTGTTTTGGATGAAATCAGTTGTATTATCATCTTTGTCTTTGCAGGGAGATGTCCCCTTACTTCCTGTCCTATAGACACTATAAAATGAGAGAAGAAAAACTGTAATGGATCCCCGCCGTCTGCGCATGTGCAGCCTGCACGTTCCCGCACTGCTCGGGAACGCGCCATCCCGCGCATGCTCAGAAGCAGTAACCTGCGAGCAAGAATATGCGCAGTAATCTACCAGCACGAAAATCCGCCATGGCGGCGCACAGGAAATGACATCACTGGCCCTATATAAACCCAGCAGCAGTACCACCATGTTGCTGGTTTATCGTCAGCTAATCCTTGTTCCAGTTTTGTGATATCTTGCTTGATCCTTGCGACCCGGACTTCCTCGACAAACCTTGAATTCTGCCTGCCTTGACCACGGAACTGTTATTTGACCATTCTTCTGCCTGACCCCTTTTGTACTGGAATTGCCCGCTTGGAACCTGACCTCGGCTCGTCTCATTGGATTACGGCTTGCACGGTGCTCAACACCACTGGCACTCCTGCCACTTGTTGTCCCGCTGGGCTCTGTTCCCATCCTCAGAGTCTCCCAGGAAACAAGGTGCAAGGGAAGCCTCCTCTCACATCCGGTCTCACAGAAGGTACGTAACACTGACAGACATTCTGACGTTTCTACTTGATTATGAATTATTTACAAGGTGAGATTCAACATTAGGCACTGTAGGCTTGTGCCCATAGGCTGCAAAGGCAAAATGCAGTCAAATGATATATGAGATACATTTATACTATATATATTTATTTGTGAATAAAAAAGGGTGATACATAGGGGGTGTGTCTGGTCACACCCTAATCACCTCAAGCGCAACACTGAAACCCCAACAGCGGACACCGTGTTTTTTATCACTGAGCCAGTGGAGAGATCACAAAGATCTCTCTGTAACCGGTTCAGAGAGCAGCAGCACCTGCCACTTACATTGCTCACATAACAAGCACAGTCCTTGGTGCCTGGGAAGCTGTAAAAGAGCATGGCTGCGGCTTCACAACCAATCAGGAAGCCGGGCAGTTGGTCACCTGACCACCTGCCAAGCTTCCTGCTTCATTACTGCACCCTTGCTGGAAGAGGAATCCGAGCCAGGAATGCCTACTCGATACCAGTATTTCGGTATCGAGTACCAATATATTTTTTCGGTGCTCGCTGATACCGAATACCGAGTACCGGAAGTCCCATTCAGGAAGCCAGGCGGCGTGTAAAGACTCGCTACACAGTTTCCTGATTAGCAGGGAAGCCGTCCCCATGCTTCTCGTCACTAGGTGACGAGAAATCATGGAGCCGGCTTTCTGGCCAATCAGGAAGCCGAGCGTCGTGTAATGACGTGGCGCCCGGCTTCCTGATTTGCCGGGAAGCCGGCTCCATGCTCCCTCGTCATGAGGTGAGGAGGGAGCAAGAAGCCGGCTTCCCTGCCAATCAGAAAGACAGGCGCCGCGTGATAACACGGCGCCTGGCTTTCAGCAGTGTCTTTCAATTGCCGAGGACAGTGAGGTCTAAAAGACTTTTTGTTTCATATTGTTAATTTGATGTAACTTTTCTTTTTATTTGTAATAATGCCGTGTATATATACATGTATTCATATAATATTTGTTTTTTTTTAATGGTGCAGGGAGGGGGCATGGAGGTGGGGAAAGGGAGTAAAACTAGACTGTCAGACTAAACTTTGTTTTGGATGAAATCAGTTGTATTATCATCTTTGTCTTTGCAGGGAGATGTCCCCTTACTTCCTGTCCTATAGACACTATAAAATGAGAGAAGAAAAACTGTAATGGATCCCCGCCGTCTGCGCATGTGCAGAGGCTTCCTGATTTGCCGGGAAGCCGGCTCCATGCTCCCTCGTCATGAGGTGAGGAGGGAGCAAGAAGCCGGCTTCCCTGCCAATCAGAAAGACAGGCGCCGCGTGATAACACGGCGCCTGGCTTTCAGCAGTGTCTTTCAATTGCCGAGGACAGTGAGGTCTAAAAGACTTTTTGTTTCATATTGTTAATTTGATGTAACTTTTCTTTTTATTTGTAATAATGCCGTGTATTGTATGTGCCAGTCATGTATAGTGCTAAAGGATGCAATCATTTTAGCTTTTACTGATGACGTATAAGATAACTGAGTCCCACGTGTGATCTGTGACAAATGTGCGGTGTCGGTATTAAAAAATACAAAAATATATCATTTTGAATACATATTATTAGGGCAAAAAATCATATCTGTACCTGCAATCCAGGAGGAACCGCCATCTCCGTGTCGTACAAACTATGGGGAGCTGTAGGTGAAATTATACCCCCGCCAATGGGCATCTGCCAGTCCCGGGTGTGTGGGGGTCCGCACAGGCTTAGAAGGGCCATCTTGGAGTTGCTGATTTAGCAGTTTTACCTGTAAATAAATGATTGCTACTTTATCAAATGTATAAACTTCTGTCGTTTTGAGAATAAATTTGATCTCTACTAACTTCCTTCACTAACGTGTGATCTGATCTCTCTCCTTCTCTGTATCTCCCTCAAAAAAACCTTTCTCCACTCTTCTTTTCTTTATTCTGTTTATTCTTTCTGTGCACCTCCGCCGTCTTCTTCTCCCATACAGAAACTGAAAGTAGCATTGCACTTCTATCCTCCTCCTCCTCCCCCCCGCCTGTTCTTGCCAGTTGCAGAAATATGAGCATAGAAAAGAATAAGAAGCAGATTAATTTACCCAACAGATCCCTGCTAGACAATTCACATTGCTTGTCGGGTTTTCAGTGGTGCAAGAAAGCGGAACTGGGAACAGAATTCTCTATCACAATGTCAGGAAGAAGTTAAAGTGACACTAAACTCAGGAGTTAAATCTTAAAAATACATTCAAGAACTTGTACTATGAACAACAATGTATCTCATGTGTGTATAACTCGGCTGTAGATCCTCCAATCATCTCTGAATTGGTGCTGACACTGTCCTTCCTTCTGGAGGGGGGCTACTCTTGTTCCCCATGGCTACCTGTGTGTGTTGTAAAGTAGTCACCGCTCCATGCTCACTCCCGTGATGGACTACAATCTCATGTTAAGGTTCACACCTAGGCAATTAAGCCGATTAACTGTTTTTGTGCTGTTTTGCGCGATTTTGCTTTGAAAACCACGTGGCTTTCAATGCATAGAGATGTCTATGGGACCACAATCACGCGACAACTGCCCCAAAATAGCTCCTGCACCTTTTTGCACGAAAGGTGATTTCGGCTGCGCAACGCAATGCAATAGTGTGAACAGGCCCCATAGACTTCAATGGGAATCTGTGTTTTGCACGATATCACGCGGATAAATCGTCTAGGTGTGAACCTAACCCTAGTTTACTAATTTGTGTTGAGATTGTTTTCCATCACAGGAGTGAGCTTGGAGTGGTGACTACTTTACAACACACACAGGGACCATCGGGAACAGAAGTAGCCCCCCTCCAGAAGGAAGGACAGTGTCAGCACCAATTCAGAGATGATTGGAGGATCTACAGCCGAGTGATACACAAATTAGATACATTTCTGTTAATAGTGACTCACAAACTTTTTGTGAATCCCAGGTATACGCTGTGAAAGCAAGGTAGCTAAAAACCCAATCCTCACCCTTATTAACTACCAAAGTGTTATACAGGTATTCCTCACTTAACGACCGAGTTCCGTTCCTACGACCAGGTCGTTAAACGGATTGGTCGTTAAGTGAGGAACTCTATACAGTACTGTACTGCATTAGTACAGTACTGTATAGTGTTGCCGATGTACAGTAACGAACAGTGTACTGTACATCAGGCAATGAAAATACTTACCAGGACCCGCAATGAAGATCGGAGGACACCACTTCCGCCGGCGACACGGCGCACTGACGCTGACGCGCAAGGTCGGAGGTCGATCGGCGCTCCGTCGTAAGTGCGAGTGGTCGCAAAACAGGTAAGTCGGTAAGTGAGGAACATCTGTACTGCAATATTCATTTCACTCAAACTCTAAATTATTGCACTTGATATTTTAAAAAGCCAGTATGAAGGAAAAACACGGGCGCAAAAAGGACTTGTGGGGCTAATGTGGAACTAAAGACAAAAATGGCATATATGATGCAATCTATCAGTTTTTGTTTTTTTTAGTCACCCATGTAGCAGTTTTGTTATCTGTTAATCCCACTGATAGATTTGTTATTTTCCCACTTCCTGTAACAGGGTGACAACACTGTTTAATCTTACGTGGAATTGTGCAGCAGCATTGTCACCCTATGGAGATGGTGGCCTTAGATTGACATGTTGCTTTAAATGGACTTTAATTAAAAGACAATCGAAGCCCAGAAACAGACAACACTTTTTCTATTTCAAAGATTTTATTAATTTTATATCACAAAGACATTTACATATAAACAAACATTGGCAGCAATAGTCTACAATGATAAGCATTATCAAATCTTCCTCGCAAACCATCCCCACTATAACCCTACTAACAAAACACAACACAAAAAAAAACAAAGGAAAGGACACCAAAATTTCAAATGATATGATATAAGATTGACATCCAGGTCTCTATTCACATCTTGTTGACACATATAGCAAAAACGATTGTAGCTATTACAAAAAGGTCACACTCTCCACAGAAAGTGATGGGTGAGCATGTACAATCCAGGGTTGGCAAGTCTTCTTGAATTTTTTATTAGAGTCCAGCAAAATACTGGTCAATTTCTCATTAAGAAATCCTTCTTTTAACCTCCCTGAAAAGCACAAATGGTTTCTTCTATGCGTAGGCGATGGTCTGTTTGGCCGTCAACATAACATAGGTCGCCAATTTATGTTAAGAGTTAGTGAGAGAAGGAGCAGACAACACTTTTTATACAGTTACAGCAATATTTATTTATTTTTTCTCGTTCAAGCCATATGAATAAAAATGTATTAAAACCCCCCCAGGCAATGTTAGATGGTTTGTCCCAACATCTTCATCTGTCACTTTTGCTGGACAGTTTGGCCTCTTACATGGAATGAAAGGATTCTTGTAGGAGGGGGTGGTGTTTAAGCTTGGAGGGTTGGTGATGTGACCTGAATATGTGGTCACCTGTGTGACCTGAGTATGAGTGTAACATGAAACATAGTCAGGAAGCTGGAGTTACTCTTTTTATTTATTTATTTATGTATTTATGTCAAATAAGATAATGGCCGGAGTGAAGTGGCCAGTTTGCAGGGCAGGAAATCACCTTTCCACATAGAAAAGACGGGGATTTAGAGCCAGAATAAGGTAATGAATACAGAACGTACTGTTAAATTTCTATTTTTGGTTGGAGTTTGGGTTTTAAATGAGGCATGGCTGAACTAAGGGGTCTATTCACGAAGCTGCCGAGGGCAGCCGAGTGAATGACCGATCTGAAGTGAAGTGAGCCGAACACTGTTCGGCTATTCACTTCAGGCTGGTACGGCTGAAATCAGCCGTACATCGGCTTGCTTCCTGTGGCTTCGGGTCGACCGAACATGCTCTGCATGTTCGGCCGACCCGAAGTGCAGAAGGAGTTCAAATATATATATATATATTGCAATATTTTCTATCATCTTTATATATATATTGCAATATGCTCTATCATCTTTGTTGTATATATATATATTAGAGAGACATATTTTAAATTGTTTTATAAACAAAGGTAGTTACAAATGGTTACAATTCATAACAATAAAAATAATAATTGAAATAATTGGTGTAAGATGAAACAAGGTCACAAAAATTGAGTTACTCTTTAAACAATAGTCTTCTTTGATCAATGTGAAGCAGACAAATTGGTAACTGTCTTAGAATGACAGGTATAGAGGAGTCAGTCTATGAATGGGGTTTACATAAGATTTCTGTGTATTACAAACATCGTTCTGTAACCTGTGAAGAGATCTTCTACCCGGACACAGATGATGTAATTGGTACATTGAATTTTCATTGGTCACTAGATGTGGAAAGTGAACTCTGAATTGTAGATAAGGGACTTTCCTGACTGCTGCCTCCCGCCATAATCTCTGTCTGTGTGTTGCTGTAAAATAGATTATTGTTATCGGCAAACGCAATTCTGACCTTTTCCTTATTGATTGAAAAGCTGCAGCTACAATGTAACAGATTCATACAGATTCATACAGAGCTACTTCTCACCTCTACATCATTACACCCCATTACACACCCCACAGGGCAGATGTTTTAGGGCTTGTTCACACCGAATGCGGTGCGTTCCAGAGCGGTAGCTGCTTGAACGCACCGCAATTAGTGTGAACAAGCCCTTAAGGATCTACAAAGACAAACTTGCCATGACAGGATCATGGGGATGTCGTTGATAAATGCTAGTTAGCTGCTGATCCTTTGCACATGACTACAACGTTCAGGTCAGGAGAAAAAACATATATACCTATACAAGCTTGTACATATTGAACTGGTTAGAGTGACACTAAACTCGGGAGGTAAATCTTAAAAATACTTTCAAGTACCTTAACTATTCACATAAATGTATTTTATTTGTGTATCACTTGGCTGTAGATCCTCAAATAATATCTGAATTGGTGCCGACACTGTCCTTCCTTCTGGAGGGGGGCTACTTTTGTTCCCCATGGTCCCTGTGTGTGTTGTAAAGTGGTCACCACTCCAAGCTCACTCCCAGGATGGACTACAATATCATGTTTAGCTTACTAATTTGTATTGAGATTGTAGTCCATCCCGGGACTGAGCTTGGAGCGGTGACTACATTACAACACACACAGGGACCATATTGAACAGAAGTAGCCCCCCTCCAGAAGGAAGTACAGTGTCAGCACCAATTCAGAGATGATTTGTGGATCTACAGCCGAGTGATACACAAATAATATACATTTTTGGTAATAGTTGAATGTATTTTTAACATTTAACTCCTGAGTTTTACCAGTTTAACCAGTTCAATACTGGCATGTTAAACCCTCTTTATTAACAGGACGTTTGACATAACAGTATTGAATTTGCCAGTGTGGCCTCCCGGCAAGGCACCATGTTCACATGTTAATGGGGACAAGGGCCTCATCCCTATATCCCTGGCCTGGTGAATATGGCACCTGCCTCGTCATTGACCAAATAGGACTATGACCTCCACCTCTCCCAGGACTCATTGATGGCCCTCTGTAAGTGCTCTGCCAGACTTCTATCTGTTGACAATCTCTCCTGATGACCATAATTTGCTGTCCCTTTTGTCACCTGTCCCTTGCTGTCCATTAAGTGCTGCCCTGTGACTCTGAACTTACTACTTTGAAGTTTCTATATTGCCATCCTGTGTTCCCGCTGATTGTCTCTTGTCGTGCCCTGGATTGCTGCCCTGTGATATTTCCACCCGAGCCTTGTACTTGGATTAAATTACAGAAATTAGGAACCATCACACAAACTGGGACACCACCCCTATATATGCAATATATATCAAACAAGGAAAGAGAAAGAAAGGGGCTTTGTGGTGACCACTACAAAATACCAGGGAGTTGATCCACACATAAGGTCAATTGATTCATAAATTTGATAAAATTTCATTTTTAATCTGCTCAGTTCATGATGTCAATACATATAAATTTAAAATTCATCCAAATAAAAATCCATAAATAGGTGTATACAACATAACCTCCCTGGATCCCACACAGAATTC